TGGCAAACACAATGAAGCCATGTTTATATTCAAAATTATGCTCAAATAGGCTTCAAAAATAAAAATGTGGCAATATCAAACAGCAGCAGGTGCAAACAATACGCAACATTTGTAAAAACATGAAACACACATACTGTATGTATGACTGGTGTAGCAGTAATAATATCAATAAAACCACAATATGCAATGCTGTCACTTTCCAGCAGAAAAACAAAACCATGTAGATTTCTCCTCCCTATTGCAGCTCCACATATACCGTATTTTTCGCTCCATAAGACGCACCTTTCCATAAGACACACCAATTTTTTTAGGAGAAGAAAACAGGAAAATATAATCTGTTTTCTTCGCTCCATAAGACACACAGACTTTCCACCCCCCTGTTTTGTGGGGAAAAAGTGTGTCTTATGGTGCGAAAAATACGGTAAATTAAGGGCTACAACTTTCCAGCAGCACCAGTCTAGGGATGCACAACCTATTGGGGGGGGGGTAAAAGAGCAAAGGAACATTTAGTGCAAATCTGCTTCTATAACATTGCAACCATGACACTGCACACAGCTCATTAAGAGTGCAGTCGTTTGTATGCCTATTCAGAAAGAAGTCCCATTAAGATTTGTGTGGTTTGCCATATAAAATTTCAGATAATTCATTCATTCTATTACTATACTGTCCTGTAAGTGAAAGTAATACTCCACAATAACCAAGAAATACATTTAAAAACAGTAAGATGTTTCTCTTAATGTGCTCTTAAATCATTACGAAGTGATTTCAATTCAGTATTTGTCACCCTGTTTTAATTTGATGCTTGCTATTTAAAATAATTTAACAGTGCTTCTGTATAATAATTTATTATGCTTTTAGGTGTATATGTTTCTAATACATATTGTCAGCCACCCCGAGTCCTGCATTGGGGGAAAGGCAGACTGTAAACAAAACAAAACAAAATAAAACCATTAAAAGTCTCAGACAACGGTCTCAAATAATCACTGGTGCTTCACATATCTGTCAGGGAAAGGCACTCGGAAAGTCTTTTCCTTCATCTCCAGCTGCCCAACTTCACTTGTTGGGATCACCAACAGAAAGGCTTCTGAAGTAGTTCTTAAATTCTCGAGTTTTGCAGCTTTTGATAATGTTAAATTACTCCAAATGACACCATTTCAATAAATGACAAAGCCAAGGGCAGCGCTGCAATGTTTCCTTCTTTTTTCCCCTTTCCTTTCCTTCCCTTCTTTCTTTTGTGTGTGTGCATGTGTGAAACAGACAGTTCATTTGTCATGTGTGTCCCTCCTAGTCAAGTTTGGAAATACTTCAGATTCCAAAGAAATACTTCTGGATTTACTTTCCCCTCTAGTACAGATGTCTTATCAAGTTATTGTACCACCAAATCAGAAAAATCAAGTGATGGGGTTTTCTTGGTGACTTTTCAATTTCCCCCCTCTTTTCATGTTTTAAATACTGTATGAATCAGTTCTGCCACATTCCCTAAACACAGGCTGTCACCAAACAATTTAAATGCACTAGGAAGTGGTTAGTGTGTACCAGACTTCTCCAGTCAAGACTGTGAGAATGAGTGTATTAACCACTCAAACAAATATACACAGGGCCTTCAGTCCAGGAGCAAGTTATATAATCCATAAGATCTGGATCTTTCTTTCTCTTTTTCAACTTAAAGCTATAGATTTCCACTGTTCTCTTCCAGGGTAAGTTCATACAACCAACTATCAATGTGTAGCCTGCATAATTAACTTGTAAACCGCCCAGAGAGTGCTTGAAGCACTATGGGGCGGTATATAAGCAGCACGCTGTGCTTTGCTTTATCATTTGAGCATCTATAGTGAACAAGTTGCTTTTACTTTGAGTCTAATTCTCATAAAACAGTAACTGACATGTCCCTGGAGTTCTTCTGTACTAATACCTCAAAAAGCAAAACTATTTCATGGTTGCTGTAGGTTTGTGGTCTGGAAGTTTTTCTTCCTTTCACCAGTCTCTGTGGATGGCATCTTCAGAGGACAGGAGTTAGAACCAGAACACAGACAGGGTTCTGACTACTGTCCTCTGAGGATGCCGGCCACAGAGACTGGCGAAACGTTAGGAAGAAAAACCTCCAGAACATGGCCAAACAGTCTGAAAAACCTACAACAACCATTGGATCCCAGCCATGCAAGCCTTCGAGAATACACAAAACTATTTCACATAGAAAACTAGATTTCAAGATGATTATTTTTAGCCCCATTTTCTTCTTGGCATGTAAATTTATATGCATAGAAGTGCTTTGCTATGTATAGGAGAGCATTCTTTGTGTGTGTATGTGTGTGTGTGAGTGAAAGAGGGAGTGAGAAAGAGAGAGAGAAAGCCAGGCCTTATATTAGGATGGTTCTGAACACATTTTTCTTCTTATATGTGTGTGAGTGAATGAGGGAGTGAGAAAGAGAGAGAGAAAGCCAGGCCTTATATTAGGATGGTTCTGAACACATTTTTCTTCTTTGGAACTGTAGTTATACGTATTACTATGTGGGGTCTCTAGGATTTTTAAAGTTTTAACTTGGAAACTGCCCAGAGTAGTGTGTGCACTAGTGGTATAGAAATCAAATATGCAGTTATATGTGGTTGGTTGCTAAAACCAACCGCATATAGCTGCAACTCAAAGGGCTGTTTCAGGCAGACTAAAGGACAATCCTTCTCTACGTGTGGATTTTTAGCGTTTTTCTTTCTCAAGAGTAGATTACCAGATTCTTCTCACTAAATAGTCTGAGACTTGCCTGTTTATAAAAAAGAGTTTGCTTAATGGCTCGTGGGAACGCAATAGAGTAGGCATGCCCCCTTTCAAACTATCACACTTTAATAAGCCAATGTATACAAGAGATTTTTGCTTTCAGGCCTTGCCCTCATGGCAAATTGAAACACAAAGCAATGGACTTAACTGGGGTTTATTGTTGTGTTCAAACTGGGAAACTTTATTTACAAAAACAAGGAAGTTTTTGCAATTTGAGGTCCATTTAAGATCCCACTTCTTCCAAACGTGGAAATTGTGGCTTCCAGATTCATACAAAACAGGATAAATGATGATGCCTGATTTTGACAACAGCACATTGAGATGGGAAGAAACTGCTCTGAGTTGAAATGTTCCTTTGACTACATGGAACACATTATATAGTTTCTTGAATTCCAGGGAAAAGGGCAAAATGAAACTAGCACAGCTCCATATAGAATTTTTCTGCTTCCCCCTCAAAATGTAAATAACTTTGTGTGCAAATGTTCCTCCTCACCCACATGTCCAGAAGAGGCAGAGAAGACTAAGAGTGTGTCTACACTGCACTCCTATACCAATTTGATAACACTTTAATTTTCAGGACTATATTTTATGAAATGGGATTTACAATTTGGTAAGCGACTTAGATTTCTCTGTCAAAGAGCTCTGGTGCTCTTCCTTGGACTAGAGCTGAGCTAGCTCACCAAACTACATATCCTAAGACTTCACAAGATAGATCTCAGGCAGTTAAAGTAGTACCAACTGATGTAACTATGCAGTCCAGCTGTAAGAAAGACATCAAATCTAGTTGGTCTGTTCCTTAAAACATTACAGATTGCTCAAGCTCTGCTTTTATTTCCAATGCAAGATAAGCAAAAATCTGCTTAAATTAAGATCTGAAAACTAATACTTTCCAACTTAATTTTTAGCCTCACAAGCACCATTCAAAATCAGCCTCATCCCAAATGATATTGTTTTCAGGGAGACTATATTAACAAGGACAGAGTTTTGTATTTTTATTTAGAGTAGAACCAGATTTTACTGAAGAAAAAGGAGTTCATAAAATAAAGCTTTTTAAATATATGGTTAAGAATTACAGTACGCAGTTACAGAGTGCTTTCACTGAGAAAGTAATAAACAAAAATGTTTGTGTTGATTTATTTTTCAGTGATAATAGTACATAATCACCAAGAAGACTTTATCTTTCTTTCAACTTACTAAATCGCACACAGAACTAAGTTGTTTAGTCTTTCACCGTTGTCAAAAATTCAACATTTGTTTTTCACTTGAGGGAAACTGCTATCTTTTGTGCAGCCAAATCCCGTAGGCTTTTCAGAAACAGGAGCTGCACCACATTGCTTTCTTTTTGATCTTCTAGCCACTGGAGAGCAATTTCTAATGCACTGTAGGCTTCTGAATGGGAGGGCCCAGGAACAACTACAGTATTGTAAATAGGCTCACTGTCACAGCTGTCCTCTGTTTTGAAATCTGGAAGTTCCCGTAACTGGGTAAGTGACTGACTGGCAGATAGTTTCTCATGATTAACTCCAAGGTGATGAATCCCACGGCGAGACTTGAACCGCGCCAACCATCCTGAGCTAGCTTTAAAGTCAGGATTCCCATTCAATTTCCTGTTCATTTCCAAGGCCTTCTCACAAAGAAGGGGACCCGAGACTGGCTCACCAAGGCTTTTCATATGAGAAAACCAAGTGTACAGAGTATCTTCTAATGTGGGTTTCTTTGCACATTTCATTGTTTTCCATTTGTTTTTGCCATTTTCGCTGCCCATGGTTGAGATAAAATGCAACAGAGTGTCCTTGCTTTTCTTGAGTTACGAAATGGTTGACTTCCCTATACCAAACTTCTCTGCCAACACTGTTGCTGTTTCACCTTTCTCCAACCTTTCAACAATCTCTATTTTGCTTTGGAAAGTGAGCACAGTTCGCTTGCGCTTCTTTGTCATTGTGAAAAACGGTGTGTTTTTGTCCTTATGTCCTTGAATAGTGACCACAGAAAGATCACAGTGTCCAACTGTTTAAATGTATGTGATATTTGGCAATGCAAAAAAAATCATACATACGTACCTCAGTCTTTTTTTCTCATGCAAATGAAGGGAAAGGTTCACTAATCCGTACAAATAGTGTTCATAAAAACAGGGTTCTACTGCATCGTAAAGAAGAATTAAGAATACATTCCATAGCCATATAATAACTATCCAAAATTAGCACTGAAAATTTAGTACTCTTGGGGACACTACACAGAACTACTTTTTATTCTCAAAATATGAAACAGAAGTTATAACAAGATGGATGTACTTCATATTGTCTTACCATTCGGAAACAAACACCTAGAAGAAAACACAAAAAAATTAAACTAATAAATATTAGTTTCTGGAACTACTAAAGGAACAATTAATTCCTGTTCGGAAACATTTATTTTTTTACTCATTATTTATCAAAACATTTTGAAATCACTCATAATCCATATAATATTAGGGAGATGAAGGAATACAGTTAAAACAATTAAATATAATTAAAACAATAAAAACTCTAAAACAGGTCATCAAATACAAGGATGCAACATCAGTAAAAAAAAGACCAAACCTGCCAATTACAAAGACTTGGAAAGACAAAAGTATTCTATCTAGAGCACAAACATGAGGCTTGGGGCATTACAATAAGTGGCATAAGTTGCCATGCAATGTTTGTAATTATAGATGAAATATCTTGATAGGTGATTATGAATGAGCCCTTTGGAGAGCAACAAAGACAGCCCAGATCTAACAAGGGAGAGCCAGATGTGCAACAGAAGCAGGTGGATAATCACATTACGATGCCAATAGGCCATCACTGACCTGGGTATTGGACCCATTTGTCACATCAGAGTCATTAGTAACACTGGGAGGTATTTTACTTACTGTAATATTCATTGATTTTGCCATAGCAATGGCTTTATTTAGCTGCATGACTATTTCGCTGATTAAGTTTCCCTGTTGCCTTGGCAAGAGGTTTTGTTGAACCTCAGTTGACCTCTAGAACGGGGAAAAGGTCGTGGCTGTGGATACTATCATTTCTGAGCTCATCCGCTCATGCGGTAGAGCCAAACTAGCCCTGGTTTATTAGGGAGCTGGTGGTGATGAAACACTTCGGACCGAGATTAGAGCGACGATGCTGGAAAACTCAGAGTAAGTCCAACCAAACATGGGCTAAGATGCATCTGAAGATTTACTCAGCAGTAGTGGCTGCAGGGAAGAAACAATTCTTCTCTGCTTCCATTGCATCTGTGCAAAGCAGGCCAGAAGAGGATCTTTTTCAGGAGGTCAGGAGGTTACCTGTTTGACCACAAGCACAAGATAGTGACCACTCAGCAGCCCATAGTTTGGAGATAAATTTGCTTTGGATTTGTTCTGACTTCAATACTGTAGTTTACACAGGTCATGTCAATGTAACTTTGGCTCCTGCTTGTCCTGTTATAATGGAGACATTTCAGTTTGTGCAACATGGAGATGTGGACAGGAACCTTGGGGAGATTAAGACCATCACATGCGTGTTGGATCCTTGCCCTTCCTGCTGGGGATGTGGACAGGAACCTTGGGGGGATTAAGATCATCACATGCATGTTGGATCCTTGCCCTTACTACCTTATAAAAGCACTGCAAAGAGAGACTGGAGCAAGATAGGCTACTGGCCTGCTTAAAGGAAACAACTATAAAACCTTAGTTGAAAGAGTCCTCCTTGAACCCTGCTGTGTTAGGTAATTATAGTCCAGTCTCCAATATTCCATCCCATGAACCATGCTGGCTCAGTAGAAAAATAATCCAATTATATGCAAGAGAAGCCAAAAAAAATCATTTGTAAACCTTTTCTTTGGGACAACCTGCTTCTGCACACTTATCTCAGAGTAATAAGAGCTGGGACGTCACCTTATATAAGAAATGCTGGAAAAACTGAACATGAGACCCTCTTCGTGCAAAGTGGGTGCATTTCTACTGAGCTATAGCTTCCATATGCCTCAGCAACTGCCCTGATGGTAACCCTACAAACCACAAGAACTTAGAACACTGAGGCTGCAACTCTATGCCCATTTTCCAGGGTATTATCCCTACTGAAATTATGGGGCTTACTTCTTATAAGGTATGTATAGGAATATACTATTAGACAGGCTGACTTTGCTATCCTAACTCTATATGACATTCACCAATTCTCACAAAAAATGCAGGTGGCCAAAATAAACTCCCATGGTCAAAGATACCACCAGAAATAGATTTTAATTTGTAGTCCTTTCTCTGAGACTTAGTTCTTACAGGGAACAAATTAAATGGTTTCTGGTCTGCCCCGTTTTGGATTTCGCTGGTGTCTTGGCTACTGTGGAAGACACTAGTTAAAGCTCTCCCAAAGGGTTGGAGGTGGGAGAAAAGTCTTCACCCAAATATTCCAGCTCTGCAGTTCTAGGATGATGATGACAGCGATGATGGCAAACATACAAAGCTGGAACCTTTTATACACATTTTTAATAATACTTCACCACCGTTCTTCACTTCAGGGAGTGTACATCTTCCTAGTGACGCTACTGTTATTAGTAATAACTTATAATAATCGGGAGAACAAACTGCATGGGGCTTTAAATCGTCAGTCAATCCCTCCATCCTTTACGCATGGATATTACTGTACTGTACTTCTCCTGCTGGGTGCATGGCCCCTCGAGCATGCGCGTAACAATCTTAGTACAAGCGAGAAACACGTCGCCGCCTTGAGGCCGCACATTGAATGGCAGGCGACAATTGACCGGGACAGACTCGTTCACGCATGCGCCGTAACGCTCCACAGCGTGTGCTTTTTAGAGCCTACCGGGCAGCCTCACGCATGCGCTCTAAAGCCAGGTCCCCAATGGCCCTCCTGTTTCCTCCCCAATTCCCCTAATAATTTTCCGTTTTTTCCCCCCCTACAATTTCGCCTCTCCTTCCGCGTCGCTCACCTTGCACCCGACCGAACACTTCGTAATCGACAGACTTGAGCACGCTGGACATAATGCTTGCAAGGAAAAGCGGAGGCGGGGCGGGGGAGAAAGTCAAGGGTAAAGGGCCAGAGAGCGACACCTGAGGGGAATCGAGAGCGGCGCTTCACTGCCTCAGCGGGCGGAGGCCGCGACGGAAACGCTTGAGGCTCAAACTTCGCAGGATAGCGACCGCCCACCAGGCTGATCCCGAGCGCGCCAGAAAAGAAGGGGGAGGGGAACCGGAGGGAGATATGAGGGAATCTAGCAATTCAGCCTTCCTCTTCTTCAATTAGGGCGGTCTGGAAAGCCAGAATGTGGCGTGAGGAGGGGACAACTTGAGCCTCAGGCGGCGAAGAAGCAGCTGCTTGCTTGCTTGCTTCCATTTTCTTTTCATGTTGTGTCTCCGTTGCTGGCAGATTGCCTTTTAATACAGTACTTTTTAATATCTTTAGACAATGTTATGTGATTAATAGAGGAGTCAGCATCCCGTCTTTTGGTACCCCCCCTTTTCCCCCCTTTTTGGAGGTGTTTTGTTGCTGCTGTTTTGGGTTTTTGTTTGTTTCTGCTGCCACCCTCAAGATCCCACCGCCCAGAGCAGGGTGGAAAATAATGGCTTGCATGGGTCAACAGATTCCAGGAATTTAAGGAATTGGGTGCCTCTGAACGTACCTGAGGCCCAGGCTTTGGAGATCAGGGCCAGAAGCAAGTTCTCAACAGTTCTAAAAACACATTAAAAACAACAAAAAACAATAGCCCGATTTTAAGAACCGAGCCTGGATGGATGGCTCAGTGGTTTAAGTATGTGACTGCAGAGGCAGAGAGTTCCTTATTGTGTCTCCTGTGAGTAGAGCTAGCCTGTGTAGCCTTGAGCCAGCTGCAGAATTATAGATGCCCCCTCTGGACTGCAAGGAGAACAAACCTATCCATTCTAAAGGAAATCAACCCTGAGTGCTCACTGACAGGACAGATCCTGAAGCTGAGGCTCCAGTACTTTGGCCATTTCATGAGAAGAGAAGACTCCCTGGAAAAGACCCTGATGTTGGGAAAGTGAAGGCAAGAGGAGAAGGGGATGACAGAGGACAAGATGGTTGGACAGTGTCATCGAAGTGACCAACATGAATTTGACCAAACTCTCTGGGAGGCAGTGGAAGACAAGAGGGCCTGGCGTGTTCTGGTCCATGGGGTCACAAAGAGTCGGACACGACTCAACGGCTAAACAACAACATTGTGTTCCCTTTATTACACATGAATGCCTTTTCCAATATGGTGTATGGTGTGTATATATGCATAATATTTTAAAAATGGATTCATTTCCCCTAATTCTGAAAATAACATGTACAATCATTCAAATATATGGAGATTTAACTGCCAGATAACACTGGCATATGATTACTTAACTGGATTGTTCTTTATTCACTAATATCCCTAGCTGAAAGCGAATCTGAACAATGTTTTAAAGAGCACAGAGCACTGAGGAGAAGCAGAGAGCCTTCGATAAAATTAGAAGCATTACAAAACAAATAACCTTAACTAACACTCAAAGAGAATTCTAGGCATCTAGAGGCTCATGAGCATTTTCCATACTGTACTAGATTTCTGACAAGGTCAGATTTCTCACACAGAGCAAACTCCATTTTGTTTTTTTCAGTACAACATAATATTTTGCAGGAAAGCCTTTTCCTATATGGCTGATAAAGAAGGGTTTGAAAATGCTTTATTGTCAGCTGCTGCCCCCTATCAGGAATGTGTTGCAAATCAACCCGTAAGGAATTATCAGATCAACAACTAGTAGCTTACTGGACAATTCAATGAGATGAGATGCATAGGGCATGGGATTTCTCCAGTGTGATCTCATTTGACAATTAATTTGCTTTGGAGCTTTGAGGTTTCCAGAAGATTATATGATGCAATCTCATTGCCAAGACTGAAGTGTGGTCCAGCTGCCTCTCTACTTTGCTTCTGTATGTGGACAATGGGCAATGTCTTGTTTGTGGTCTCATGTAGCATGATGTCTTGGCTGGCCCTGCTATTTGTTGTCACCAGCATAGAAAGAAAAGGAAACGGTTTGGAAATCAGAAGTTGCATTGGTGAAAGGGCACATTTTCTGCCACCAGTGCAAATTCTGTGGCTGCACCTGCAGCTCATTGATGGTGGTGCACTGGCACCTGGTTTCATAGGTTGGTCTGGCAATCAGATGTAGCTCCGCAGGTACCCTCTGCAGAAGATCCCAGCATCTTCTGCCTCCCCTTTATGCATGCCAAATTTTGATCAAGAGTACAGCAGGCATGTTTACTTTAGTGTATTTTTCTAGGCAAGATTGGATACCCACCTCTAGACATTTTATGTTCCCACTGCCTCTCTCTCTCTCTCTCTCTCTCTCTCTCTCTCTCTCTCTCTCTCTCATAAATAAATGAATAAATAAATGCAGCTTAATTTGGGGTGGGCAAGGTATGGGCTAGGATTGTGGACTGGAACAGAATGGGCTGCTCTGTGTCCCCACCCCAAAATAAAATTCCCAGGGAGGGGGGGAAAACACCACCTATGCACTGCTGCTTTAAAAAATTTCCAGAAGTATAACTTTCTTTTTAAATAGGTTATGGTTCCTTGCTGCACCATTTGATCTCCCAATACCCATTTTCCAAACTTGGAGGCTGATGTCTGCTCCTGCCTTTGTATTTATTTTTACTTTTGGTGGGTCACACGGTGCCCAGAGGATCCTTGGGGGGGCGGGGGCAGAACATTGGCTCCAAAACTAGCTCAAGTTCTCATTCCCATTTCTGAAATCAAATCAACAGCTTTTGCATTGTGGATGTTCTGCTATAGATTTTATCCCCCACAGACTCAGCAGCTTGGGTTATTTAAAGGAATTCAGACGGGTGCTTTGTAGAACTGTTGTTTCCTAGGAATTAGAAGAATTAATTGTTGCCTTTTCATGCAGTGATGGCAAAACCATGTGGGAATGCCCACATGAAAGAACTCAAGCAACAGGAAAGTGTGTGGGTTACCCTCAGCATGGCTTTCAATGGAAGTGGGTTGCGAGCAATTACATTTAATAGAAGTGGGAAGGCTTGTTTTTTAAATGTACTTCCATTAACTGCACGATCCCAGTTTCTTGCCTGGAAGCAACAAAAGAAATTCATTAACAGTTGAAGATCGGGAGACAGGAGGGCACTTCTTAGCTGAAGTTTCAGTCAATCAAACTGCTGAATGGAATTTATGCTTCACAGAAAACTTTGCGTCTCCACTTGCTTTGCATGCAGTGCCTTCACCTCTGTAGGGCAGAAGTCCTGAAAGTTGAAATATCATAAGTCTGGTGCCAAGAACAGAAATGGCATTTCTTCCCAGACTTTTTTTTTTACACCTGGGGGAATCAGTAGATTTTTGGTGTTGTGGAGTGCCATATATTAGTTGTCAGTTTATTATTCATATTAATCATAATACTGTAATAATGTGCTGTCAATTCTGCCTTATGCTGACTTTTTTCGGGGTTCTCCAGGTAGTGGTCCTCAGAAGTGGTTTACCATTCCCTTCTTCTGGGGATGCCCTGGGATGATGGCCAAGGCTACACAGGTTGGCTGTTCTCTCTGGAGGTACAGTAGGGAATCAAATTCCCTACCCCTGGCTCTGCAGCCAGATACCTAAACCACTGAGCTATACAGCCAGCTAACTTATTATTAGTGACTATTATTTGTGAATTGAATACAGAGTTCCTGATACTGCAAGAAAACCCACTGAAATCAACTCACTTAAGGGCCTGGTTACACTATTGTAGTCAATCAGGTGATGGGTCGGGGATTTTGAAGTCAATTTCAAGTCATGTGGTTTTTGGTTCAGTGTGTGCATCCTCTTGGGACAACTTTTAATCCATTTTAAAACTGTGTTGTATATCAGTCAAGGAGGCCACACAGGCTTTTAAAATTGTTGCATTTGAGATTTTGTCCTCCACCCACCTGCTGAACCTTGTATTGGAATGAGTGCACAACGGTGTGGAACTTGCCAAGTCATGGATGCCAGGATCATGAGTTTCAGGCTACAGAGAAACTTTGCAGTCTGATCTGTTATTTTTTTTTTCTGTCTGTAATACTGAACTACCACTATGCTAGTGGCTATGAGAGGCAGCCATTGTGAGGGCTGGAAAGTGGAAGAGGTGCTTATTGGTCTTTATGCCTGAGGTGCCAAAATAGCTTGGTTGGCTTTGGGTGCTATACACCTGGACTGACAGAGATATATTGCTGTTCTGTTTCCTTTCAGTGCTACAGGCTTTCAAGTGAACACTTCTTTTAATATATTTTATTGTTAAAAGTCCATGTGCATTACATCTAAATATTTGGGTAAGATAGCTACTGTGAAATGTGAGCTGATTGCCATGCCCTTCAAAAAGTAAATCAATTCACGCACGATTCTGGAAAAGACGGAGGTCCTGAGGGTGGGTGGCCCTGCCATCTGTGGTTTGGGAAACTCCCTCTCATTTGGTGTGTGAGTGAGTGAGTGAGTGAGTGAGTGAGTGAGTGAGTGAGTGAGTGAGTGAGTGAGTGAGTGAGTGACTCTCACCACAAAGAGTGAGGTTTGCAGCTTGGGTGTCCATCCGGATCCAGCACTTACCATGGAAATGCAGGTAGCATCAGTGGTCCACGCTGCCTGCTTCCATCTTTGGCGGATTTCCCAGCTGTGTTCCTATCTTGATGTCTCAGCCCTCACCACTCTGGTCCATGCACTTGTAGTCTTCCCCCAGAAATTTGTCTGGCTCCCTCACTGGGTGTTTTTAAGAGCAATCTCAATACCTGGCTCTTTAGGCAAGCCTTTCATCCTGTTAATAACTAATTTATTTGGTCATCTCTAATTGTATTCATGTTGTTGTTTTATTATATTGTATCATTATTTGGAGTGTTGTTAGCCGTCCAGAGTAGACTTCGGTCTAGAAGGGCGGGGTATAAATTAAATAAACAAATAAAAACATTTTAAGACAGCCACTGCCTCTACCTATGGCATGGGCACCCTCAACTATAGGTCCCATGAAGTCAAGACTCTCAGTACGGCTCATACTGGTCTTTACTAATGCAAGGGAACAGGGTATAAGGTTAGGTTATACACTAGCCCATTCTCCTGCTATAGCCAGTCCTTGACTGGGCCTGATTTTGCTTACTGGTCTGGTGCAGTCATAGAATCGTGGAATAATT